GGTGTACCTCTTCGGGCTCTTGGATACCTTTTTCTCGTTATATGTGTGCGTGTTCTTTAGATCCTCAGATGGCTCTAGCACTTTCGTGACCACGGGCTGAGAGTCTTATGCTAGATTTTGGCATTTGGCAACTGACATACGGTTTAATGCGAAGACAACAACAACAACAACATTAGACACGCAAGGGGAGTGGGGAGAAGTGAAGCCCTCTTTGAAGTTCGAGGGGTCCCCGCACATGCAACCATTTCAAGGTGTACATATGCCCCATCTGCGTGCCCGCTATTGTTGCCGGTAGATCAAACCAGTCCGTATCCAAACACACGAACAGAGTTTCGGGTTTCTTTGATTGTTGCGTCACATCGAAACGGCCCGACACGCAACCTGTGCGTTTTAGCTCACCTGGACAGTCAACAACACGTTGTTGCTAGCGAATCCAGCCACATCGCCGACCTCCCTAGTTTCCGTCTCCTCCCCGTAGCTATTGAAACACGCCGTTCCCTGAATGAATCAGAGCGGGAAGGTGGTGGGTTTCGTCGTATCATCAGGTAGGGTAATGTCTCGAGAGCGAGTTCAAGCAAAGTGGTGGCACTTGAGCGCGAACGGGGATTTGATTTGAAGGGAAAGTTTTTTATATTCAATACACCGGTTGCACTTACCTCCGAATTTACCTCGCCAGGAAAGCGAAGGCCCAGCACCGTTGCTGACACTGGCCTGTGAAAGAGACCAGGAACATCAAGAAGGTTCGGAGAAAAGTACGAAAACAACGCACGATTTCTCGAGAAGTTTGATGCCAAATGCACTCCGACGCGTGCGATGGCATGCACGATGAACACAACAGTTGGTCCTGAGACGGAATTATTTTGAACCGCGGGGGGTGCCACCTGCCGTTTTCAAGCAACAAGCAGAACAACATCACACAACCATGTACGACGAGCAGGCGGCACATTCTGGTGAGACCAGATCAATACTGAAAGTATGCAGGATTAACAGAAAAGCTTACTTTGTCATTGGGTGTCGGGGAAACCACCTGTCTATCGCGTCCCAGACGACCGCTAGTACCAGAGATTGTGTTTGGTATCAAACGGAGATGCTGGCAGCCTAATGATGTGCCCGATTGTGAGGGAGAATTCCGGTAATCACTCCTCGTTTCGACACTCTGCTCACAGGTATATCCAGGCCCAGAAGCGAGACCACCAGGTAATGCCTTTTTCCCAAGAGGTGAGAGTTCTGTTGCCGTTCGTAACGCTGGTCTTTGCAAGGAGAAACAGCACCAGGCACGCCTGGTCGTAGGCAAGGGCATTTCCAACATACAAGCGTTAGGCTTGCGCTTCGCCCATGCCCAGTTCGGATGCTAAACTTGGATATACTCCATGGAAACACCAAAATGTTGGCTCGATACGTTCATATACAGAGGGAAAGCGGATATTCCTGACTACCAGCACCCCAATCATCGACGCAATCCATGGCTTTATGAACCGTGAAGCGATCTACGAATGAAAACCCGCTTACACCATCACCTACCGCCTGTGGTGCGCTCACGTCGTATAACAGGAGTGAAGCGATCCATGCTCGATGAGACACCCGGCACGAAGCATCCGAAAGGGGAAACATGTACTTCGCTGCCCCTGCGCTCATATTGACGGACGCAACAACGTGCATTGCCAGAAGCCTCCGGTGGAGCGTCCTGCCGCCGGTACCGTGTATTTTCATTCGGACGGCGCAAAAATGGAGAAAAGCGGCAAGTCGGGGGCATGGAGTGAATCGCTCCGAGCTAGGACGGGTTCAACGTGTGTGCGTGATGTATTGTCACACCAAGAAGGAGACGAGTCCAGTCACCACCCGCCGTACAAACCAATCAGGAACTGAAGCATTTATTGGCAATGATGGACGTGAACGGTAATTGACAGAATTTCTAAAGTATTCAATTTGAAACTGAGCACAAGGGCAATGCAGGCCTTTTCGTCCGTGGACGGTAGAGAACAGTCCTCTTGACCCTTAGGTACCGTTTTTGACTATGGCAGGTCACCTGCATCCCGCTGGAGAATTGATACACTTCCGTCCGACATCTGTGGGAACTTTCACGACTGTTCATGGATGCTCATGTAATTTTTTGTCGTGTGTCCCTTCGCGGAATACCGCCCGCGTATTGTAGAAAGAGTCACGTACCGCCTGTGTCTCAAAGTTTTGCCTAAAATCATCCTCGTATTATTTATGGTTTGAACGAAAATCCCAAACGATGATGATGGCTCGCGCTTGTGGCCGCCAGGAATAGGCTCACAAACAACTGCAGAACAAGACTTTCCGGGAAAAGCAAACTCGAGTCTTGAAAAACTCCGAGGCATATGAATGCATGCGTGCAAAGGCATGCAACTGTCGAGTATCTCTCATGACAGAATACACGGTCTGAGAACAGCCGTTCTCTACATTTTCTTGAACAACATGATCATGCAGTTCATTGCTCCTTCTGGTTGAACATGAAATGCCCTGTTCGAAAATGGTACTCGTTGACAGCGTATTCTCCGGCTTTTGCTTGTCATTTTCACCGACGAAGTCGTTCACCTTAGTCTCTAAGACCTGCACTAACGAATTCGCGGAGATTTTGTCGTCGGGAAACTGCAATCCCACCCAAAATCAACGAACCCTTCTTCAGCTTTTCGAAGATGAATAGCCAAAGTCGAAGACAACGGAAGAGTCCCATCGTCAACGACACTTCACTGGAGCAGAGAGCGACCCTTCGAATATGTTGGAGTTGGAACCTTGAACTACTCTACGTGAAGAGAATGTTCGCACCTGCGAGATGGTTGAGTTCGGTCATGTCGTTGGCAGATTGCTTTAGATGAACCAATGGGGTGCACGAAAGCAGATTCAAGGTTCAGACGCACAGAGTACACACGCGGGGATTGCCGTGGAGGCATACAGCCGGGGGGGTTGCCAGAGTGTCTTGGTGCGTTGAAGCGTTTTTGCTGACGCTATACCTTTCTTAATGTGAATTGTTCATCTAGGCGTGGCGATGCCAAGAGATGCTGGATACCCTAAATCAAACCCAAGGTTCATGTCAGAAGCTTTTCTCCTGCACACATCCAATGGGCGTGTTGTGGAGCACCTGTTACCCGGTTCTCTGGGCAACACTTATAAAACCCCGTAAAATTATCCGATTCAACAAACGCAGTCGGTCGGCTACTTCAGTCACTTGGAGCTTGTCTTCACGGCGTATGTAGATTCGTAGATTTGCGGCTTTTCTTCGGGTACTATCTAGTTTACTGGGGACGACCGGGTTGAATGGGGGCCCACCTTCCCGGCAAGTGTAGAACGGGAAGCTGAAGGGCATTGGCATGGCAACCACTCGGAAAACATGAATCTTGCGACAACTTGCGCGCGTAACATTTCGGGAAAGTCCGTGGCAGGTTGATGATAGGGCTTCATGACAACCAAAGTATCCATACCGGGGCACAACTGAAGTACGCAATTCACCCTGCACTCGCATACTGACAGCAGGTTGTGCATTCGATACTCCCTCTTTGGAGTGACAACAATGATCAACTTAACTGACCGTGAGTATATTCAAGTGAACTTCACGGTCGATGAGGGGAAGGGACGGCTGAACCCTTCCCGCAACGAAAACTGCTGCTGCAGCGTTGGGCAAGCACCCGCAGCAGGGTAGGTGGGAGATTGACATACAATCATTTCTAGCAGGCGTCCCGTGTAACCTTCCACCTGTGCGGCGCCCGGCTGATACATCAAGCCGATCGGATTACCGTAGACTCTGGTGCCAGATTGTATGGGACCGAGCATACACACACACACGTAAAAGTCTACACGATTCATCGCACCTGATAACAACCTGAACGTATTGCGCATGTCGAAGCGGCGATGACGAAATGTGAACTTCTCAACGACGTTTTTTTCCGAAAGTTTAGGGACACAGCCGATGTTGAAACTTGAGTTCTTTCTTTGCAATTGTCGTGCTGCGGTACGAATATAGGTGCCAGCAGCATGTCTAGATGTAGGTGTAGGCTAGACTACAGTACTAGCAAGAAAGGCGTTCGCCGAATCTGTAGACTACTGTAGTTGTTCTTCATAGCTTCATTTTTTTTTTTCTCCCATCATCGGGTTCTTTCTGTCGTCTGCCCCTCTGGCCCCTATCCTCCACTTCTACTAGCTAGACGACCCAACCGGGGTCACATAGGAGGGGGGGGCTGGAACCCCTCCTGCGGTTCCTGCCTGAGGAATTTCGATCGCGAGAAGGGTACAGCAATACCTTCCCTCGCGACTTACGAAGTCGTCTATGGTTTACTAACAACGAGCGTTGCAACGCGTCGCTTTCATCCTAGACCAGGATTTGTTTAGTGAGAGAAAAACTCACTCTGCCGGGGCTCGAACCCATGACCTGGCCCTTAGCAGGCTGCGAGGCTACCCACTACACCACCGGGGCGACCGTTGTAATACCCCGATTCTTCACACCACGCAACTCTGCCGCACGAAACGAGGTACCCGAAATGGTGGCGTTGACCTACCTTCTCGTCGATAGATTTTCGCGAAAACGCATCAATTTGCTTTGGCATCCTCGTCGTGTTGGAGGAATCCAACTGTGGCCATCTGTGCGCGTGGCAACTTGTGCAACTTGCTGTGCAGCTGTGATGTTATGCAAATGGCCGAGGCTGATGTAGACTGTTGTTGGTCGGATTCTCTCCGTCCGTGATAAGGCCATGCTATGCATATTGTTGTTGTTGCAGACTGCACGTTCTGGTCTGCCTCCCAACTCCTGGGTTGCAACTCCTGCTCGCAGGTCATGATGCACCAACCTTACTCTCGAACTGCCCACGCCAGTGAGTGCTGGTTGCTGTCGTGGCGAGGTTACTGAAAAGGCCTGCGATGGCGACTGGGCTCCTCGTCCTGTGATCGCCTGGGAAGCTCGAGCCAGACGCGAAGAAGGCGACACCGCGTCGGCCACCAAAACAGCACGTGTAGTGGTGAGGGCCAACCCCAGCACAAAAACTACACCCGCCATCACCGACGTACCTTTCCACAATCGGCCACTATATGAAAGCCGGATTCCACCTACCGCAGGGTGCAACTTTCGTCGCACGGGTGGAATAATTGAAATTATTTGCTTTGATACAAAAAACTGTAGTCTACCACAGCAGCAGACTATTGTCGTGAAACCGTCACCTCGGCCACGAAAATCGCGCCGCATTTTGTACATTACAGTCCACCCCTGGAACAATATTCAAGGCGCCAAGACGTGAACCCCAAAGTCATGCGACCTGTTTTCGGAAAGATGTTGGAGAGACGGTTGGAACGTCGCCTTTTTCAACGCCTCTTCTGTCTCTACTTTGTAGTATGGTGGTCTGTACCTGGTGTCAACTTCGATACCACTACGCAGTCTATCATGTGCACAAACGATATCATCGCCCCTGTTTTGGTTCTCCTCAATCCCTCGATTCAACGTGTGGCTGTTGTCTGCTGCTGAAGTCCTGCATCTCAAACGTTGTTATTTCATGGTTTGGTCAGAGAGATCGTATTCCCACGTCGGTGCTGCAGCGCTGGAAGGTGTGTGCATGTGATATCATGACTGCGGGGTCTTCCTTCAGCGTTGCCAACATGTGTGGCGTGCCCTCGCTGAGGCGGCCGAGGCCCGCCAGCGGGCGAGCTTAGACCACGCAAAGAGCACTACGGAGACACGAGCTCAAGCCTCGTAGGAAAGTTATTAAGGTAGTCCTGAATTGGATGATAGGAGAGTTACGCGGTAGCGAGATCGGAATATCTCTCGTCGGACCGACTTGGTTGGGCAGCATACAAGTTAAACTAAATTCCGCGTCTGCAACCTGCATTAATTAGTGCGCTGTGTAGACTAAACGACATCCCACCTCAAAACACAACACAACATGGCAAAGGACCAGCACGGTTGCCCGGGGCAAGCTGCGATACCGATAAAGAAAATCATGGACGTCAGTTCCGCTGGTTTGGAATTTTGACTGTGGTTCATTTCCTATATGTGCAGCACAGGGCACAATAAAAGTCGGGTACTAATGTGTTCCCAGGCGTCCAAATATCAATTTTTGTATGTGGCCCATATTGTATGTGGCTCAGGTAGTGCTTCACTTGCGGTTTTTGTACACTAAATGCAATGAACGAGCGCTCCCGCTGCCGACTCTGAGGCGAGGTTCCCTAATAATCGTAATGTAACCGAAATCGTATTCATCCCCATTTGGGAAGGGTTCCCTGCCAATTTTAGGTTCCCTACAAAAATGCAGAGGTTCCCTAATGCAGTGGTTGTTGAATACGAAACCGCATCCCTACAAAATCTGTGCGGGGCTCCCCTGCCAATTTCAGGTTGAGGTTCCCTAATGCAGTGTTCCCCCCACGTTAGTGGGGGTTAGGTTGCCTAATGCAGAGGTTCCCCTTCCACTGTTCTGGGAAAACTTGGTCCTCCCGAATAATGCAGAGGTTCCCTCATACGTTGCGCCGGTCGGTGTACACAACCCACCATCCGACATACTTGTCTGCTGTTACTGCTGCGTACGTGTACATGGAGACAAACACAAAACAATCAAATAAATCGATGCGACAGCGTAAGCAATACTACCGTGTGTTTTCACGTCGACGCTAACCCACTTAACACATGACGAAGAGAACCTCTTTCTTCTATCATTTTGTATCTGGATGACTTCCTGTCCAACGGCGGTATTTTTCGGGGCCCCGGATGAACGTTCATAGTGGTGTGGTCCCGCCTACTTCCGAGATTGTCTTCGCTCGCCACGAGTTCTTTTTCCCGAACCCGGGTTTCCCTTCCACTTACAGTGAATTAATTGCAACTTGCAATTCCACGCACAACATATGTAATGTGTCTACGGCATCATTGTTTGGCTACTTCATTCCCATCGCCAACTGGGATAATCCCAGTTGGCGATGCGATGATTGTCGATTAGTTCTCAGGGGCACGTATTCTACGAGTCCCGTTCGTACCTTACCGCCCACGCCCGAAGCCAAGCGCTTGTGGCGCATGTCCTGCCTCTTGGGTCACCCCCGAGAGGAGGCAACCTACCTGGCGCCCGAAAGGGAGCCTTCCATTATTTTTCAATCCCTTCCGATCACCCCTCATTTTCCAGATACGTTATTACCGTTCTACTTCACCTCTATCAATCTCATGTCCTCCCCGCCCACTGGGGGTGGGGAACTGATGTTTTCACCCTGGTATATATATGATACACATAATGAGGTATACAAGGTTGTAGATAATGCAGCACAGAGAGAAACTGCCCGTTCCGAACATACTTCAGTACATTTTACAGGCAACCCCAGATTGAAAGGTGTGTTGAAGTCTGTACTACCATGGTGTACAGCAGTGAGTGGGAGGAAACAGGCTGGATACTCTATTGGTTACCACCCTCTGGGCGCTTGACACCCACGACCCGAAGGGGGACCTTGCAACAAAAAAAAGTCTGGTCCTCATCATTATTATCAAGGTCGTCGTGGAACGCATCCCCGAGAAACGGAGCCAGTCCCGTGACTTTGAGCGTCGAACACACGCGCGGCGGGTGCTGTCGAGCTCTGGGCATGCGCGGTAATGTACGAACAAGCCTCCTGCACGCTCTGAGAAGCAAGCTCGAGAAAAGCTTCGCTTCCGCTAGACAAAGAAATGCCGTAACACGAAAAACTTTGAGGGGTTTACTCGGCAATTTTACAACCCTGAAAATACCACCATGCATGGTGGGCTGTACTGCTAAGTCTATCGCCGTTTTCGCCATTTACTAGTTTTACCGCCTCCGTCAAAGCCGTTACCGCAAAAAGCAATACCGCCTATCGCCGAAAATGTGTCAGCCTCGATAACTGTTTCAGAGTAAACCCATCCTTTAAAATAACAAAATGTGATACACGAAATAAGATGTGCAGGCAAGCCCCTCCGCGACGCGGTCCCCTGGGAATGCGTCCCGGGGGGGGATCACACGACTTCGTTTCCTTCATGTGTCCCAAGTCCTTTGCCTCGTTTTGAAATAGTCTTGGACGTACACGACATCATGACTAGACACGTTGCCACAGAGGTTTCAATACGAATTGCCACTCTTCTGCCGACATAATAGATATTCCCCTTCCTTCCAAAAACGAGCTCCGCAATTCCAAAACATACACCTACACAGCCCGGGGTAGGACGTTCATCACCATCACATAAATCAAATATAAAAAAGAATGCAAATGATAATATCACCCAACGTCGAGAACCACGCACACAACAACCCTCAAACCTCATGGGTTTAAGTCCAACATGAAAGCCAAGCATCAAAGTCCACAAGAGGGAATCGCCCAGGGAACCCCCCTTCTGCGATTACCACCACTACATATTCTAGCATACATGTTTATGAAAGTATTTCCAAACGTCCAGAAGCACGCGCACAACAATCCTCACGGGTTTAAGTCCAAGTTCAAGGCCAAGCATCGATGTACGCGAGAGGGCATCGCCCAGGGAACCTCATCCCTGCGTTCACCACCGCTACATATACCAAGACTTAAAACTACTAATTGTACTACTCAACATCCAGAATCACACGCATGCATAGCAGCCTTCACGGGATTAAACCTAACATCAAAACCAAGCATCAACGTACGCGAGAAGGAATCGCCCAGGGTGTCGAGGAAAACTGTTACAACGTAGTCAGGCACAGTTTACCATAGGTGCGACTGCGGCAACTAGCAGCCTTCCGTAGACATAATACAGAAAGAAGAGATGGTACTCAGCAGAGAACATGAGCACAGAGTTGTAGCGGAGATATGTTGGCAGGCGAGACTGTAGTTGTTTTATTGTTCCGAACCCCGAAATTCCGGTACTCGGGCCATTACTCCGGAGACCCTCGGAACCTGCTGTGTTTTTGCTGCTTGTTTTTTGTTTTTTGTTTTGTTGTTGAGATGAGACACAAGCGCGCCTTCGCCCCTTGTGCTCACTCTCATCTAGCACCCATCAAAGCCTGACCAGGGAGTCAGTTGATAAGAACATCTATCTGCATTTCTCTTTCCAAAGCTCGCTCGGGCCTACCGATTTCACAGCAGTGTAGACCAACCTCTGTGATAGAGCGGTGACAGCAGTGTAACCTCTGTGGTAGACTACAAAGTCTACGAGCCACAGCGGCACCGCCACCTCCGCTGCTGCAATACGCCACATTCTGTGAAAGGGAACCCACCCCTGCTCCCACCATATATACAACACCAGCAGATAATATTTACATACTATATTACCCAACGTCCAGAATCACACGCATAACACCCTTTATCGGTTTGAGCCCAACATCAAGGGACGCGAGAGGGAATCGCCCAGAGAACCCCACTACACATAGTCTACAAGTACCAGCAGATACTACAAATTGTATAACCTATGTTTACGAACCGCGCGGACAACAACGCCCACGGGTGAAGTCCAAGTTCAAAGCCAGGCATCAAACCGCGCGAGCGGGGATCGTTCAGGAGACCTCCCCTCTGCGCGCAAGAGGCAATCACCGAACTTTTATAGTGCGCTCCAAATATCCATGGCCTAGGAAGCGGATATGTGCTCACCGTCCCAGGTGCCAGCACCGCCGGCTCGCTGCAGCGCTCATTTCGGAAAGCGGTCGCAAACAACCCCTGCACTCCAACCTCCACACTCGATGGTCACTAGAGGCATCGGCACAATCTCCAGGCCCGCGATGGGGTCCTCGCTCCTCCGTCCAGTATGAGCTACTATGTCCCTCTCCATTGACTGGGCCGTTGCGCTACATCTTCATTTACGATCGGGCTTTCCCATTACGGTATCTCGAAGGGAAAATCGGTAGACTCGCCTGCTTCCTGTGACTCGCCGCTGCCAAGCCCCGTACCATTGTCCCCTGACTGGGCCATCGGCATGGGTTGATCTCCCTTCACCGTCTGGTGTCTCTAACTGTCCACCACCGAGCTTGTCTCGGCCTTGATGGCCTTCACGCAGCTGGAGAATCCAAGAGGCAAGGATAACTGCTGGGGAGGAAATAAGACAAGGGGAGGAGACGCACACGCACAAGAGATTTGCCGTCGCACGTTGAACACCCTGCGGGCGTGCTGGTGGGTGGTTCAATAGCTTACCCGCCGAAGACGACACGTGGAAAGTCTAGGGCGCGCAAGCTTTTCGGGCGGACGTATTTCCAACTTCGGCCACGGGCAACCACCTTCACTCCACCGACTTCGACTCGGTGGGATTGCACCTACACGTGGCAAATTTGCTCAAGAAGCTTGCATGTCATCCAACGTCAACGATAACACATGCGATGAAAAAACGAAATCATGAGTCCAGACACGAACCCATCTTCTGCGTTTCCTAACGCACCTCAGTCAGACAGAGGGTCACGAAAATATTTGCCGTTGGCAGAAGGTCGGCGAGTTGAGCCGCCTGCCGTAGGGTTGATGTCGACGGAAGCACAAAACAGAAACGTATGTCAGATCCATGTTGGGTATCACATGTACAACTGAGAACAACCTGCTGTTGGTATGAACCATCACCGCCTTGAACCGCCTCCACCGACAAGAGCTGCAACAGAACGCTGGCCGTTGGGGCTTTGGGAGATATAATAAGCTTTTGGCGGGGCTCCGGGTGCACCCAGAGGCATGGCGATGACCATCCATACCGGCAATAGACCTTCTGTAGGGATTGGTTCGACGCACCGCTCATTCGCGACAGTCAAATTTTCTCACAGAAAGAACGTGCTTCTTTCTCTTTGTCCAATCAACAGCTGACCAACCTGCGACGTACGAAACACCGGTTCTTACTCTCAAATCCCAGCTAGAGCCCACGCTTCATATTCGCGCCCACTCGGCATTTGTGCTATTGCCATGCGAACCGGATATCGAGCTGAGGGTGCGTTCAGACATCACTTGCTAAAGAACCTTCGCAGAGCCACATTGCTGGACGACAAATGACCTCAATGTCCGTGAGTAACAATTGCCACGAGCGACCAGGTCTTCACATCAAGAACCCACGTGTTGCAGCGCTCTGCTCACCCAACGGTAGCGAGAGGGCAGCATAATTTCCGACGTGTACTGTACATGACTTCAAAGCAATCCAAACATCCGTACGTTCCCGACGTCGTTTCTCATCCCAGGGTCGTGTGTCCGATATTGTTAGTTCTCGTAGTACAACGCGGATTGCTCTACGCCGGGTGATGGGGGCGCAACGTCACAACAGTTTAAACAGCAAAGGCGGTCCTGAGAACTCGCGATATCACGCGCTGTACGCAGCTTGGCACGCACGAGGAACTGTACGATGCACGATCTGCTCTTCCACACCTTGATGCTCCCGGGAGCAGTGGTGAGAAAGCCCAATACCACAATTACGGTTGTGACGGCGTAGGTGAAGGTGATGGCGATCGTACATGCCACGTTTCGCATCACCAACCGACGGTACACCGCCCCGCCTGACTGCGTATGGCCTTGGGGGATCATGAGCGGCTTCACGAAGATCGCCAGCAGAAGCGCGAACTAACGCGACGTGCGGCGGAACGAGGCAATACCAATCAAAACGATTTGGTGCGGTCGGTCATCGACAGGCCAACAGGAGCCCGTGCCCCACTTCAACGCCGGAATCCATCTAAGCACGTGGGCCTACGGCAGTGATGAAGCAATGCAGCTCTGTGAATACCCATTCCCGGGCCCGACCCCCTGCCCCGTTTCGTCATCCCTAATAAAATGCAGTGCGCCAGCCTTTCCTCGACAACAATCCGTTCAAGACCTACCATGTAAGCAGTTCCTTGTTCCACTCAAGGCGACTACGTCGTTGACCTGTCAGTTCTCACCTGGATTATTAGTATGCCGTTGTTTATCACGAATCCAAGCGCGTCCGAAAACGTCACGTCTTCGTCCTCTTGTAGATCTAGAGTCAAGCAGAAAGTCCCCTGGAAAAGTACGTGGGAGCATTATTCAAGCCGTAACACCGCATTTTTGTGGGAGCAAGTCGCGAGAAATTTCAAGTTCTTTTGGCAACATTTGGTCAGGAGCTTTTGAAAAAAAACAATTGTATTACACGCTGATAGGGGCGAATGAAGTTCTCTTCACAGGACTGGTGCAATGCGGAAGCGTGGTCCTTCATTGCTTATTTAGCAACGGCGAGACGCAGGTACGCCGCTTCACACCACACCTCCAAAACCGGTCAGAGCGTGAAAGAAAAGCTTGGAAAATGATAAAGAGGCACAAAACCGGGCGTTGCGCCTTCCAATCGAAGCCAGGAAGACCGTACGCACGCTCACATCCAATACAAATTGTTGACGCAGAACGTTTTCTACACAGCTGCGGCCACCGCAGGCAGTCCCAACTCGTCGTTCAAGGATTATGACTTGGCCGTTCATCTATCGCGTGGATCGTGCGCGTGTGTGTGGCGGAAGAGGGTCTGCGTTTGGGGTAGGGGCAGGCGCTTGACGCGGATCGATGGAAGTCTCGCCGCAAATCTTTTGCTCGACACGTGTGTCGCGAGAAAAGTTTGAAACTTTTACTCCAAATCGCGCGATCTTTGTCGAAAGCGAAAGTTTCCAGGTGCAACTTTTTGCTCCCCAAAGAGTGTGCATGAGATAAACATTTTTCGCAACTCTATGCTCCCATAAAAAGCGGTGCAAGAAGGACAGAGAGTTTTGAGTCGGCCAGAAGCGGTTTGCGAGGTGTTTATTGCTGCAATGGACGACTTGACACGTGCTTACCTCTAGGCTCGGCACGCTCGAAGCTTGGGCTGCCAAAAAGAATGCACCCGTCGTTCTGCACAAAGCAAGCGCATAGAGGGAGTCGGTTCCATTGCGACGTGAGCCGCAGGCTTTCATCACTATTGATATGATACTGCCAACCTGCTACAAGGTACGCACTCTTTCGAGAAGGCCACAGTATCAGCACCTCCAATGCATTGATGGGGACTAGTCCTCTATTGTGTTCCCACTGGTATCGAAAACTGTGAAGTCAAGGCAGCTCGAAACACGTACGCGATGAATCCGTTGTCATCAACGTACTCCGTTGGTCGTCAATCTGCCACGTTTTCGTCAACTTCTAGTCTAAAACTGTTTAATTACCGGCACGTCTAATGAGAATACTCACAGCACTACCCATCCGTAGAAGCGCGACCACCACGTGATGCATGCTTCCCATATGGCGAGGGCACGGTTACCATTTGTGACACTTGCCTTCCCAACGAGAAATAGCACCAGGCTTGCCTGTTGTCGAACGAAAACAATATCGAACAAGACCATACTCAGCTCCAGTCGCAGACGTCAACCTCTGATGCAACGTCTCGCGCAGCAACACATTCTTCCTTTGCTGGAATCGACGGACAGCTAGCCCCACCACACACCCACGGTAGTACGGAGAGCAACCAGCCGTTGAAAGTGATAGCAACTCCAAGCTTTTGCCGCAAGACTGTCACAAAAGCGTTACTAATGTTAGAAACCCTACACACAGTAGTTTACGTTCACAGAGAGACTACCCGTTCGAGATATCACCACCGTCGAAGGAGATGACATGAACTCATTGCAGTGAGTGGGAAAAAAAGTGTGGACACTGACCATACTCTTGTCTTGTTTGAGACACTTTGCACTGAATTGATGTACTCAATGATGCCAGCTTGTGCACACCCAAAAACCATCCGCCGAACATAAAACTAATGCCAGCCGGTGCAAACCCAAAAAACATCGGTGAAAAAAAGGCAAACGATTAAGAGGAATATCCCCTGTAGTTCTTTATCGCGATGTCGTGTGCAGATAATCCCCGCATCAAACAACTTGGCAGTAAGGAGCTCCAAGCTCAACACTGCTGCTGTACTCCGGAATCAGACATACACTTGAGCGTCATTGCCCGGTTGAGGACCCCTACACCACAACCTACCTAGCGGCAATTTGTAGCCCACAAGCGGCACGAGACCCCAGCCTTGGCGGACACTAGACGTTGGTAAGTGCAGGCGCTATCTGCAATATCCCGTACTACAAAAAAGTCGGCCTTCACAAGGACACGTCGCAGTCTAGTCTTCAAGTGTGCTGGATAAATATGCTGCTGTTTTTGATCCACCATAATTTCGGATCTTGAAGGTGTTTCGGAAAAAAATGAAAGCTCTACTGCAAGTAGCTGCTTTTGCTGATTTCTACAGCAGCTGCGGTAGTAGTATTGGATATCGACTCACTCAATGGTCTCGATTAAAAACGACCGAGAGGCGTTAGGGGCGAGCTGACACGCGAAGGCGCAGAAGTTCGCTGTGCGAGTCTAGCGCTTCCCTTGAGCTGGCGAGGGGGCCCCGCCGGAGGCGCGGTCGGACGCAAAAAATTCTGTGAAAAAAATGTAGCAATTTCCCTTCCATGCCCCTCACAATTACCGCAAAACAGGTCTCTGAACCCGGCTTCGTATAACCAACTGTTTGAGCAAAAACATGTGGAAAACACGATTGCGAAAAACCAAGTAGAGCAAGTGCTGCATCATCTCTACCTTGTCTAGCAGTTCAAAGCTCACACAGCGGTATCGTGCAAAACAACAACAAAAGCACGGTTGCCGTATTCTACAGAGCCAAGCTCTGTTCAGGGGTTGTTCTGTGGAGTTTTATGCATTTATCGGATCGGAAAAATTGATACACATAAACCAGAACGTCGCCATTTCGCAAGTGACAAACAATTCAGCGTTGTTAACGGTTCTACACGTAGATTGCCATTTCTTTGTCCCCAATATTGGGGGCAAATAGGAAGATCTCCGGGGAGGGGACAAGAACAAACTCCCCGAATCGGAAAGTCAACCAGAAAAAATCATACATGTATTCGGACATACTTCTCGTTCGACCGCGATGTTAAATTTTGGTTTCTTCCCCTCCCGCGGATCATTCGGGTTCACAATCTTCAATGTCTCGGCCGAACATAATTCTTACACGTCACTTAAATCGTTCGAGGCGAGCGCTGTGTGTGGTTGCTGCCCCGGGGTACACCTTGCGTTAATGATGACTAGTTTCTTTCGCGGATTCGAGCCTCGACACGAATCAGCACAAGAAACAAACAATTCGTTCCTGCTGGTTGGATTTCGGCACCCACGGGGCGTTGCGATCATCAGCATACGTGTGAAGCGGTCCATGTACAGCCTCTCGATGTTTGTGACTCACAACCGCCCTACAAATTACATTACGGGGCATCTTAATGGTCGGTCTCCGCCTTTCTGATCATCCCGAGGACCGAAGTCCAATGGATCTTCAGGAATTTGTTCTTGCGCTATGGTAGTAATAAGTATACAATCAAGCTTTTCTAAATAAACAGCCGGTCGAGGTCACACGACAGCAGTCGAAGGGCGTGTGTTGAAGTCTCTTCGGTGAGTGGCAA